GCGGCGGTCGGTCCGATGACTCGGGTTATGAGTATAATATTGGGCAACACTTTTGCTTTTGTAATGCTACTCTAGCCATTGGACTGACAGCCATACAGTTTAGGAGCCGAATGACACCAACATTTGGTAGCAGAAAGTGGTTTCATTGCATATTGATCAAGTCTTGTTTGTTGGCAAATATTAATATCATTGCACCCGTTATCTCTTTGTCATTAATTACCCTATATGACTCTTGCTTAGCTTCGTCTAAACGATCATGATCTGGACGATCCATCACAGAGATCAAACATTGTGTGCCTGGATTGTAGTGTGGCACTATAGTGGACATATTTTGTCTTGATTCCCGACGCCCCAAGTAGTAGTTTTCACATTTTTGTAAATCACAGTTTCTATGAAAAACTTAGAAGACGTWTAGAAATGTAAACGAGTAACTTAGCGCGATTTTTACAGAATTCTGTTCAGAAACGTTTTTGAACGCGATAAATTATTATTTTTAGATATTATTATTATTTAAGAAGTATAACTTAGGTAATAATATATTTAGCTCATAAAATTGAATAACAACGAACCAATAAACTATTGTAGTGTACTATACAACTTGGTAATGACACGATAACTCTTAATGCTGGCAGGTCGGAGTGCGATTTGAAGATGAACACATGCGGGCAAAAAGTCGTTGCCGTTCCGCCGCACCACTGTCCCACGACGGCCCTGTGTCACCAACAATGTGAAAAGACTAAAGAGTTTGTTTGTGGATCTGACAACAAACTCTACAGGAACGAATGCGAAATGAAACGCGAAAACTGCGGGTGAGTGTACACTTTGGGCTAGGGATACGCCGTCACGACACTGCAGCATTAGCAGAGAGTTGACCCAGGGGCGTATTTATGGGGGTGGCTGAGGGGGCTTCAGCCTCCCCCCCCCCCGAAATCCAGGAATTGTTTATGAAGTCTGCTTATTATGTACTATCAGATGTAAATTTTCAACTCATATAGGCTGAATTGGGAATTTCAGTTGGAGAAAATACCACAGCCCCCCCTCTTAAAAAAAAATCTAAATACGCCCCTAAGTTGACCGGACTTGATCCAAAATGTTAGGAGATCAGGAAAACTATCTATGCACACCAAAAAAAGTTGTTTTGTGGTTCGGCTGGACAACTATTAGAGTTTGTTTGAGCTCTACCCCTCATTAAAAATCTCAACGCTACTGCAGGGACAAAGACCCAGAGTCCTGATGGCATTTATTTTTTCCGTAGAAAACACGTGTACGTGGTGCCCATGAAGAGGTGTCTGACCGGATTCCAGTTCAAAGGATGCCAGCGTGTGTGTCCGACTCTGTACGACCCGATTTGCGGCACCGACCTGAAAACATACAGCAACGACTGTTTCTTGGAGATGGAGAACTGCCGGTCCCGGTCGCTGGTCAGCAAACAGTATCACGGCGTTTGCGGGCAGCCAACCGAAGAGCCCAAAAACTATTTGTACTGATCCTACATAATATTTATTATTTATTTTATTAATATTATTAAACTATAATATTCATGATATGGTAAACAAATATTATAATTAATATTCGCGACGGCTTTAATATTATGTCGCGTTTTTTTTTTCATGTACACATTAGACACCTGCATACTATGTTCGTATTTTAATTTAATATGATTTTTTAAACATTGGAAGCGTTTATTTACGTCCGATATTAAATTAAATTATACAATATTTTAAACGTTAACCACCTTAAATGTGTTAGAATTGATRTTGATGCCACAAGTAATTCTATAAATCATTGTAACACATTTTTCTCTACTTTTGAAATTCTTATAACATCAAAAGTTGTTTTCTTATATACATTTAATGTACATTATTATCATATTATATAATTGAGCGACGTGGCATGAAAATCAATCAAATTAAAACATATTACCTAATACTTAGGTTCTAAGGTATTGAAATWTTATTTTAAGATTATTTATCAATTAATAATATATTGTGCTCTCAAGCAAATTTTATACTTAAGCAATGGCCTGTCAAGTTGATTACATTATGTGTCTTACCCGACTCAAGAATATCAAGAAAAACAAGTGCCAATATATATTAAATAAAAATTTATATATTTATGTAATGAAATTATAATGAAATAAACTTGTCAATTGATTTTGGGTACTTTTATTTGTTATAATTTAATAATTACATACTTGCTATTAATTTACAACAAATAAATAACATAATAAAATAAAATAAAACATTTGAAAATTTATATTTGTTTTTTTTTAAATATCACTACAACAATATTATTGGATTCATACAACATCAACAATAACAGCATTAACAAACTCATGTATTCCTCTTTAATGTTGTCAAACAATTTCCAGATGGGTATGCTTTTCTAAATTTTGTTATGAGATCTTGATCAGTTAGCCTGATACCTTCTACCTGATTTCCGAGCGTTATCCTATATAAAAAATACTATTATAATTAAAAAATACAATTTATAGCAAAGTGTAAACTTACCAGTTGGGTTGAATATTATGAGACCGTCCAAATAATTCAATTTTTCTAGTAAAGGGTGACAATCGTTCTATTATGCCATATATTTCATCAGGCTTATGACTAGTGTCTCGTACTTCAGCAACTATTACGTCACAATCTAAACCACAGTTCAAACTGGAAGGATTGCCTTTCTTGCCCACCTTAAAAATATACAACAGGTGTCTCATTTAATGTTAATCATTAGATATAGGGCAAAAAATATGGTATAACATTTTAAATAACTTACCAAACAATGTTCTTTACCATGATTCAGCCAATGACCTGTTCGGCCAGTCCTTATTATCCTTTGTAACTGGTTGGTTTTCACCCAAATTATCTCGTCTACTCGTTCATAACCCCATAGTTTTAGACATTCTCTACCAAGCTCCATWGCTCTTTAAATAATATATGTTATTACAATGATAACAATTGAATACAATTAATGTAATTACAATACTCTAAGCTTCTAAGCTTACCGTCCGGTAACCCATAAAAAAATAAGTCCTTCATCCTGCAATTGTGGAATACCCAATCGCCGCATTTCATCATCAGATAATGTTCCATAAGGAAGTTCCATATGAATATCCCATGGTGGATCGGCCATAATAACGGCAAATTTTCCTGGATTAAACAACAATGAATGAAGATTAAAAATAATAAATTAAACAGTATATATCTTGATAATTGAATATTGACTTATTACTCACCTAAAAAAGTGAAATCCATATACCTCAAATCACACTGAATCCACTGACATGGAAACAATTCAGACTTATCATTAGTTAACCCTTTTTTTGATGGAAAACTATTGAGGGCATTAACTAAATTCACTTTACTAGTTACACCATCAACTGCATAGTGAACATATCTATAACAAGTAAATAGAATAATTATTTTAGAGCATAAAAATACAATACTTTAAATAAATAATATTTAATATTTATGGATCATACATTGTTTACCTGTTTATTTTAATGTTAAATCATATCACCAAATACTAAATAGTAAAGGTAAATATATACTAATAAATTATAAATATTTATAGATTTTTTAATCAGCTGTAGTGACAAACAAAATTAAGAATACAAATTAGGAGTATTATAAGTAAGATAAACTGAAGAACACTTTTGTTATATCTATCTTTGTGGATAATATTGGGAAAGACTTAAATGAAACAAAGATGATATTCAAATCATTAATTTGTTCAAATCAGGAAATAAGTTGTTTAAATTTTAAGAATTGTTTATAAGTTATAACAGCTAAAAGAAAGTTTAAAGAAAACACCAAAAATGATTTCAATAGGTCATCTATGATAAAATATTATATTCTTTCACATACTTATATATATACAATACACATGTAAGTCTGACATATTATAATATTATATCTTATTAGTGTAAATATTGGGCACTTGGAAAATTTCGCATCTAATTATTTATGCGAAATTCATGGTTTAGAAGTAACTATGAGTAGTTAGTTTRAGTTATTTAAAATGTATTACTCTCTAATATACTGTAGGCCTAATTTAAATATCAATATAATAAAAATTATACAAATGACAATAATCTATCCATAGTTATACCTAAAATATTTACCAATAAATGTATTCATAATCTTAAATATTAACATTTAACATTATAGTTTCCTACCTTCTAATTAGAAATTAATTCAGTTTTATAAATATATATCATAATAAAATGTATTGATACTTACTTACACGTGTCCATATGAAAACAAGTGTTTAAAAAAGAACAATCACCTAATGTTTCATCAGTATGCATTTGAATAATTTTTTTGAAATGAAGCTTTTTACAAACATGTCCTTCCATACAATCTGATCTAGTACCATGTGGACAAAATTCCATAACATGTGTTCCTATTGTAAAAAATAACTACTTGTATCATTTGCATATGTGTTATTGATTTCTTATGGTGCTTATATGTTTACCTCCTTTAGACCGAAATTTTTCACATAAMAATTTTTCTTTAACTGTTTGTTTGGTAAGCAGTTCCATTATTTCTTCACTAATTTTTTTAATTTCTTTTTCTCTGATGGAAGGCATTGAAATAAGGGACTAAACAAACATATTATAAATTACATTTTGATTACACTATAAGAGTTTTATTTAGTATTTTACAAATTATATTTACCTTTCCACTCGAGAAATTATAATAAAATTGCTTAAACAATTTACATATTTAATTTCACAAACTTAAGAACAATAAGAAATAAGAAATTGTTGCTAGAATTTTGTTTTAACAATGATTAATATAAAATAATATAATGCAAGAAAAATTACTATGATGGTGGTGAGGAGAATTTAATTAAGTAATAACAATTTAAAACCTATATTTACCATAAAATGGTTAAATTAAGTATATTTTCTTAATTTATTTAATTTGCGTGCAAAATAAAAAAAAAAAACTATAATAATTAAGAATGTATTAAATAAATTACAACTATGTGATTTAATACCAAATTAAATTAAGTTAAAACTCTGAAATAACTTTAKGATGCAGTACAATATTGATATCATTTATCGGAAATCTGTATACGATTGAGAAACATATTTTTATGGATCATTCTCACAACAAATTTTAAATGGCTATAACAACAACATAAAGACCGAGTAACAATTTCTGATTTTACTACCATTCTAAAGTTGATAAAATTCCCAAGTTTTTTAAATTCTCCAAGCGAATGGTAAACTACATTTATTTCACATTTCACTCACCATTATGTCATCATCAGACTCTTCAGACTTTTTAAAATCGATTGATAACTTTTGTACTTTTGGATTTTTTAAACCTTCATCAGTATCTTCATCTGAAAATAATTGTTTAAATTCATATTTATATCCACAATAAAATATGTAAAACAATAATTTTAATTACATTCAAGCTGTTTGATTTTATTTTCTATCAGCAAGCGAGATTTTTCAAGATGCAAATTTGAATCGACCTCTGATGATAAATTATTAGTCATTGCAAGTAATTTTGCATGTTCAGCTGTTAWTATTTTTAAACCTTGTTGKCCATCAATAGTAATATTTTTTAAGCTAAATAAATAATAAGTATTAAGAGACATTATAAAAGTAAATTTCATAAAACCAATAATACCTTATAAGATTTTGTGCAGCAAATTTATACAGCAAATTAACAACAGATGAATGTGATATGTAGGTAGACTCTTTTTTAAAAAGATCAGTCACCAATTGATGAGAAGTAATTGGAAGATTAACTGATACATCAACAAGTATTTCAAGTAATACACGTTCACCACCTACTTTGCTCCAATCAAAATCTGATTCATCTTCTGCATTACTTGTACTTGGCAATAAAGATTCTCCTGTAAATATTATGATTATAAATTTAATTTATAGATGGCCAATACTAAACCACTAATRGGTATAGCTCTAGTTATCACTTACTARGAACAATTTTATCAGATGACACATTTAGAATAACTTGCCGCTCTATTTTTCTCTTCTGAAGTTTTTCCCGCAGTGAATTCCGTTTGCTTTTCACAGCTTGAATCTCTTGCCAGGCGTCAGACATGATTGTAAAATTGAAATCGTAATCCCGACCAAAAACTATGGAATCAACTACTGATGGAAAAATAAACTTGCATTCATGTCACATTCCTATTGTAAATTTAAATAAAGRAATATAGGTACATTATCAAAATATAATTGCACCTATCGTATAAGCACGTACATTTAAGTGAAGCAAACGATTGTTTTAATAATCTGGTAGTTTTGTTTTTCATAATTTATTCAGTTTTTAGGTTAAACAAAAAAATAAAAATAAAAATATGGATCATGTTTTAAAGTCATTCATGAAGCTATTCATCGGATTTACATAAAAATTAATAGCTCATCACTTGAGTATTGTAATATAATACTGTAAAAATAAACGTTGAATTTAAAAATCCTACTCAAAATATTATTCTGTGATTACATCGAAAAGTAAACAACTTCGACAAAGAACAGGATGCCGGATGGGGTCAGATCTTCCGCTGATAAGCGTTATCAAGTAGATCGCTACCGTTTCTTCCAACTTTTTTTTATACCAATTTATTACCAATTACAATTTTTCCAATAACATTTTTATGAAGAACAAAATTCATCACTGACTAGGCATACTTTTGAAGAAAGT